TCAACTACCGAGGAATATCGTAATATTTATCTCAACACACACAATCGATGTTAAAGAAATGTATTGCAGGATCAATGTGTAATAGTACTATAATTAAGATAGAGCTGCGATATTACACAATTAAATCGAGAAAAGGCGGTCATAGCAGGATTTTGCTCAATAATATTTCCAGTGCATTGTAGTACAAAATACAAAATTAGTCGCGTGAAAGATATAAATAAAGTAATCAAAATAGATTTAATTTGAAATCGAATTAAAATTCTCGAAACTTTCAGGTTCAAGAACGAATCGAATCAAATCACAATGAATTCGAACTATTCGTATCTCTAATTTTTACTTTGTGCTTAAAATATCTTAAATTCTATGCTGTACCATTTCATAATCATTAATATTCATTTATATTCCAATAAACTCATATTAATATTCCGGTAATCTATTCCATCAGGAATATTGTTCATTATCGGATATGCATAACAACTGACATATATATTCTGATTGGCTAAGCTAGGTTTGGCCAAGATTCATGGCCTGTATCACGATTGATGATCTCAACTGTTGTTCCACCCACGAGAAGGGAAAGTCGCGATTCCAAAAAGGTTACGCGAACGGGAACTCTTCTTTATCGTTTTTTTTTCTCTCAATCTTGAGTTGACAGACTATATAACGAAAGGTTAATATATGCTAGCTTTCAATCGAACTCTTCTCTACGCGCATTTGCAGCGTCAAATGTTGTCGTGACAATTAATGTCTGTGGTATTTATGTCACTACTTTACTGTTGATATTTTAGTGGAGAGATCAACAAGATTGTTTCAGTAACAAGATCGTTTCAGTCAAAGAAATTCAAATGCTAGCTATTTGCTTTTTCATAGCAATCCCAATGTATCATTCTTTTTAAAATAAGACGTTATTCCAAATTTTTTGTATTTTAATAAAAAAAAATTAATATTTCATTAATAATATAAAAGATTCTATAATCCGTCAATTCTAAATGTTTAATTCAATAATATAATTTTTTAGTAGAAGCATTCTAATAATTAAATTTAATAATATTCTAGACAAAAAATTATAATCAAGGACATGTATTGATTATTGGATTTGTCTGTTTTCAAAGATGTAGTCTTATGTGCATTTATTTGATATAACATGAACTTTTTTAAAACAAATTAAAATTATTATTCATATGCTAAATTGAAATTTTTATATTATATATATTATATATTATATATTATATATATTATATATATTATATATTATAAATTTATGAAAATGATATCTGTAATAATAACAATCAAAGTAAGATTTTTCTGTATACAGCTGTACTATCAGAAATTGATTTTATTAAAGGTACACTAGTTTAAATGTTTTATTTAAGGAAGTATTGTAAAGTCATTGGTTGTACAATTAAATATAATATGTTAAATTATACGATATCACGATATCAAATTATTTATGTGCGTAATTAGTAGACATAATATGAAGCGATTCTTAAACCTAAACTACCTTTTATCTGCAAAATGGTCGACAAGTTCAAGATTAAGGATTTACTAGATAAATTATCACTGTGATTTGTTTAATATAAATGTACAATTGTTAATTAATTAATTACTATTAGCTAATTATTTTCAAATATAATATAAAAATGATTATCATTATTGTGTAATTTCCATAATTTTTATAATTATAATATTTCTATAATTTTAATAATCAAATTATCAAATTATTTAATTTTGTCTTGTCTAAAAATTTATGATTTTACTTAGATATCAATGCTTACATATCGATATTTATTTGTTGCCTTTCTTATTTTTTCTGCTCTTTTGCCTTTTATTAAAATAACATATTTTTAACATATGTCAATCTTCTGAAAGTACATTATTACTGTTATGTTATAAAATGTCATTTTTTTCTTAACTATTATTCTATTATTATATAAATTCTATTATTCTATTATTATATAAATACTATTTTCTTAATTATTATTCTCTTTACTGTAATTTTTTACTGTATTATTTATTTTCCCACTGGTATTTTTTAATAATTTCATAGTTTTATTTCTGATATCGTCCATTGCAAGTACGAAAAGACAATTATGAAGTAAAGAATAAGAAAAGTAATAGACGTGAATATCGGTATCTACAATAGATAAAACTATAAATCTTGGATAGTATTGATCTAATTATTTAAATTATAATGTTATAAATGCTACAGACACATGATACATGCGTACTATTAATTTCTTGCATTATATGTTTTAAAATAAAATAAAATTCAGATCAATTCTATCAATTCTATTAATTTGTATCGCAATTATGTATATATTTATTTCTTACTAGAGCAGCTATCGTGTATATAATTTATTTACATTATTATACGTATTCAGCATGTAATTAATCATAAAGTAGATCCAAAGATAGTATGAAATAATAGATATGTATATATATATATATATATATATATATATATATATATATATAATATA